CCCGTCTCCTCGCGTAAGCTTCTTTCCTCCTTTAGCCGATCTCTCATGATTGAGATTTGTAATTATTTCTCTCGTAACCGTCGATGGATTGGATTGTCTGATTTTGAATTAGTTGTGTTAAAACTATTCTTTCCTGTATTTCTTGGCTCTCTGTTACGCATTCTTCTGGCTCTATGGTTTAGGGCATTTTCTGATTTGCGATTGTTTGCGCAAGGTTTATGATTTGTGATTTTGGCCTTCTTTGTTACACATTCTTATGGCTTTGTTAACTTGGAGAAGAATGCGTAATAGCAGTGTTATTCTCGGTTTACCAGTGGCATACGTAATAGCAGATAATTGCAGCAATGGATGTTCTATAAATGTTATTCTTGGGTTCATGGGGGGATGGCATAGCAATGTTATTCTATAATAACAATGTTTATCTGAGATTGTTTTGGACATGTCTAGTTTTTTGTTGCAATACGTCAATTGGATACGAATGCTGATCATTCAATTTGTTGATTACCAGTGTTACTCTCATTTTTTTCTTGCTTAACATGTAGTCCTATGGCATGGTAAGGAGCTTTGATGGGTCCTTAATGAGGGATGATGGTTGCGGAAACACCTATTTCTTCACTGGTTGAATAGGTAGTATAATTAGGGCTGTCAAAACGGCTCGTTGTTGTTCGCTATCTCGTGCTCGGCTCATTCGTTAAGTTAACGAGCCGAACACGAACAAAGATTTTTTCATTTGTTCGTTCGTGTTCGGCTTATTGCCGATCTTTATATTCTATTATACTTTGACTTGTTTTATTTTACATTCCACGGTGTGCTTGTCAATTAGTTGTTCCTTTGTTTGTCAGTTAGACGTCTTTTAGCTTTTCTGGGATACGTTACCGATCCCACGACACCCGATCTTTATATTCTATTATACTTTGACTTGTTTTATTTTACATTCCACGGTGTGCTTGTCAATTAGTTGTTCCTTTGTTTGTCAGTTAGACGTCTTTTAGCTTTTCTGGGATACGTTACCGATCCCACGACACCCGATCTTTATATTCTATTATACTTTGACTTGTTTTATTTTACATTCCACGGTGTGCTTGTCAATTAGTTGTTCCTTTGTTTGTCAGTTAGACGTCTTTTAGCTTTTCTGGGATACGTTACCGATCCCACGACACCCGATCTTTATATTCTATTATACTTTGACTTGTTTTATTTTACATTCCACGGTGTGCTTGTCAATTAGTTGTTCCTTTGTTTGTCAGTTAGACGTCTTTTAGCTTTTCTGGGATACGTTACCGATCCCACGACACCCGATCTTTATATTCTATTATACTTTGACTTGTTTTATTTTACATTCCACGGTGTGCTTGTCAATTAGTTGTTCCTTTGTTTGTCAGTTAGACGTCTTTTAGCTTTTCTGGGATACGTTACCGATCCCACGACACCCGATCTTTATATTCTATTATACTTTGACTTGTTTTATTTTACATTCCACGGTGTGCTTGTCAATTAGTTGTTCCTTTGTTTGTCAGTTAGACGTCTTTTAGCTTTTCTGGGATACGTTACCGATCCCACGACACCCGATCTTTATATTCTATTATACTTTGACTTGTTTTATTTTACATTCCACGGTGTGCTTGTCAATTAGTTGTTCCTTTGTTTGTCAGTTAGACGTCTTTTAGCTTTTCTGGGATACGTTACCGATCCCACGACACCCGATCTTTATATTCTATTATACTTTGACTTGTTTTATTTTACATTCCACGGTGTGCTTGTCAATTAGTTGTTCCTTTGTTTGTCAGTTAGACGTCTTTTAGCTTTTCTGGGATACGTTACCGATCCCACGACACCCGATCTTTATATTCTATTATACTTTGACTTGTTTTATTTTACATTCCACGGTGTGCTTGTCAATTAGTTGTTCCTTTGTTTGTCAGTTAGACGTCTTTTAGCTTTTCTGGGATACGTTACCGATCCCACGACACCCGATCTTTATATTCTATTATACTTTGACTTGTTTTATTTTACATTCCACGGTGTGCTTGTCAATTAGTTGTTCCTTTGTTTGTCAGTTAGACGTCTTTTAGCTTTTCTGGGATACGTTACCGATCCCACGACACCCGATCTTTATATTCTATTATACTTTGACTTGTTTTATTTTACATTCCACGGTGTGCTTGTCAATTAGTTGTTCCTTTGTTTGTCAGTTAGACGTCTTTTAGCTTTTCTGGGATACGTTACCGATCCCACGACACCCGATCTTTATATTCTATTATACTTTGACTTGTTTTATTTTACATTCCACGGTGTGCTTGTCAATTAGTTGTTCCTTTGTTTGTCAGTTAGACGTCTTTTAGCTTTTCTGGGATACGTTACCGATCCCACGACACCCGATCTTTATATTCTATTATACTTTGACTTGTTTTATTTTACATTCCACGGTGTGCTTGTCAATTAGTTGTTCCTTTGTTTGTCAGTTAGACGTCTTTTAGCTTTTCTGGGATACGTTACCGATCCCACGACACCCGATCTTTATATTCTATTATACTTTGACTTGTTTTATTTTACATTCCACGGTGTGCTTGTCAATTAGTTGTTCCTTTGTTTGTCAGTTAGACGTCTTTTAGCTTTTCTGGGATACGTTACCGATCCCACGACACCCGATCTTTATATTCTATTATACTTTGACTTGTTTTATTTTACATTCCACGGTGTGCTTGTCAATTAGTTGTTCCTTTGTTTGTCAGTTAGACGTCTTTTAGCTTTTCTGGGATACGTTACCGATCCCACGACACCCGATCTTTATATTCTATTATACTTTGACTTGTTTTATTTTACATTCCACGGTGTGCTTGTCAATTAGTTGTTCCTTTGTTTGTCAGTTAGACGTCTTTTAGCTTTTCTGGGATACGTTACCGATCCCACGACACCCGATCTTTATATTCTATTATACTTTGACTTGTTTTATTTTACATTCCACGGTGTGCTTGTCAATTAGTTGTTCCTTTGTTTGTCAGTTAGACGTCTTTTAGCTTTTCTGGGATACGTTACCGATCCCACGACACCCGATCTTTATATTCTATTATACTTTGACTTGTTTTATTTTACATTCCACGGTGTGCTTGTCAATTAGTTGTTCCTTTGTTTGTCAGTTAGACGTCTTTTAGCTTTTCTGGGATACGTTACCGATCCCACGACACCCGATCTTTATATTCTATTATACTTTGACTTGTTTTATTTTACATTCCACGGTGTGCTTGTCAATTAGTTGTTCCTTTGTTTGTCAGTTAGACGTCTTTTAGCTTTTCTGGGATACGTTACCGATCCCACGACACCCGATCTTTATATTCTATTATACTTTGACTTGTTTTATTTTACATTCCACGGTGTGCTTGTCAATTAGTTGTTCCTTTGTTTGTCAGTTAGACGTCTTTTAGCTTTTCTGGGATACGTTACCGATCCCACGACACCCGATCTTTATATTCTATTATACTTTGACTTGTTTTATTTTACATTCCACGGTGTGCTTGTCAATTAGTTGTTCCTTTGTTTGTCAGTTAGACGTCTTTTAGCTTTTCTGGGATACGTTACCGATCCCACGACACCCGATCTTTATATTCTATTATACTTTGACTTGTTTTATTTTACATTCCATGGTGTGCTTGTCAGTTAGTTGTTCCTTGCTTATGGCTTGTCTGAGCTCCTTGCGAATATAATTTAGGCATTCTAGGGATCTAAAATTATAAATTTTCTACAAAAATCTAATAAATAATTGAGATTAATTAAAATTTAGGATTAAAATATTTCAAAATTTTTAAAATATGTTTTTACTTTTGTTATAGTATTCAGACCAAATTTTAAACATTTTGCATTGCATGGCTCACCCAAGTCATACTAATAGGGCCTCCATATTATGACTAATTAGCTCACTGCATCATTTGCATATCTCGATGAGAAGCCCCCACGCTTCTTCAATCTGACTGACCCAACATAGAGTTCTACTTAGGTAGTTGTCTAACACACTTAGGGTATTTGAGGCCTTTCCGACTTAGACTGGGAATAATATCATTGTGGGAGTATCTCCAGCTTCGCAGTTGTACCTCCCTCTTTCTTTCAAGAGATTTCTTTGCCACTTTGGTAGGTATAAATCTCACATCTACTCTTCCCACCTAAAGAGAGTCATAGAATTTAGAGTTTCCTTCTCCCCTTAAACAACGCAATTCACGGATTGCTGATAAAAGATATTGGTTGTGTTTGGCCAACTACTTTCACGACCATATAAAGTTTGGGTCATAATAGCTTGGGATGATGAATCAGTGATATCCTGACCCGGATATCTCTATATGATTATGACTGCTCTACCATTGCTTTGTTTATCCATTTGAGCTCTGTCACTCCTTTTGATGCTTCGCCGTGTCGTCTCATAGACCTCGATTGCGGACAAGTCGTCGCCTGTTTGAGATACGGTGATTCACCCTTTACCCTTATGGGCAAGTTAGGCCTGAAAGCATAATGAGAACCCTACAAAACGACTCAATTATTTCATAGGCTCTGTTTGTTGATGAGTCGTTACCCATTTGAGATCGTGAGAGACACACTCTTTGTCCTGTGACTTAGCGATAGTTTTGAAGACATCAGGACACTCCTATGAGATAATCATCATTTCTAACATCATAAAAACCTAACTTTCTGTCACAAACTTCACAATTCCATAGTAGCTCACATAATTTTGAGCAAACTTCTAAGGAACAAGGTGATCGACATTATCGTAATGGCTAACAACCTCATGAAATTATCACAAGTTGCACAAACAATCTAACCGGTGAGAGGAATAACATGATCGTATGTAGTTCATATATAACAACATCAAGAACACAACAAGATTAGGCAAAATAACTATCAAATAAAAAAGAGTATACGCATCGACAACCACCAATCAAATAATAAAAGAGAAGAAATTATGCAACAGAGAAGTACTGAGAAAAATTAAAATAATTAGTTAAAGGTCGTAAGAGCTAACCCCATTTCCAGGGCTTCATTCATCTTGCGAGATTTTCCTGATTGGTTCTTGATACAGATCAAAAGGAACATTGACAAGATATTGCATCTAAAACAGAATCAAACCCTTCTTGAACAAAGGATGAGAGATTAAACTTTAAACAAATGTACATGGATTTGTGACTTTCATAATCCAGCCCATCTCACACCATTTCTTTGGATCATCTCTAAGAGTTCGTTAGGCACAACTCAGATGCTTCATCACATCAATATAATCATTTCTCAGCTATGCCGCAGTTAACTTAACTAAGATGTAATTAAACTTTCCTAAAGAAAGAAGAAAAAATGCTTTCATCTCATTTTCCTAAACACTACTATCAAGTGTTATTAATCAAAGTTTGCGCTCTCGTGAGTCTGCAAATTTATTTGCAAATTTTAATAACTAGGAAGATTGGCTGATGCTGATTGCAATAACATTAAGAAAAAAAAAACGTTCTAAGAGATTTATAAACAGGGATAGAAAACAGTAGCAAGATTAACATAACCCTAAAAGGGGCAGTGAACACTATAATGAACTCACAATCAGATTAGCTCTTCAACAAGTATAGGTCCGTTCTTATTTTCCTCATCTTCATCCAAATCCCCGTCAATTTCATAGCCATCCTTCTTTCCAGGAAACAATTCTCCATCAACAGTGCAGCCACTCTTACCACCAAAACCCGATTCCATCCCTTCTACCTCATCTCCATCTCCCCCCACAACCACCACCCTATCAGTCTCTAGGTCCCCGCCTCCCGCACCAATAACGACCAAATCATCCTTAGCTCCTTCGCTTTCTTCCTCCTTACCCTCGTCACCACACAAAGGCCGTACCGGCGGGCAGATCTCGCCGACTCCAAGAAGTTTGTCCGGGATCTCACCGTTGCTTGGTCCGGGATTCTGAACGCATCCACCGCTTTCGCGATCGAAGGAGACGCGAGATTTGAGGGAGGAGGCAGCTCGGGAGAAGGCTTCCTTGATCGATTCGATCGAAAGTGCACAGTCCTCGAGGCCAGCATCTTCCAGCTTTGGAGGCAGGATCGTGCCGAGGAATCTCTCCATTGCTCCTTCATTTGCTCCTTCGAATTCCTCCATCGTCTCAAGCTCCGGGAAATCGACAGAAGTAACGGAGAGAACAGTGGAAAAAACCCTAACAATCACGTCCCTGTTTTATCCGTTTTCGGCTCCTCTCAAGGCGTAATATCGACTGGGTAAAATGTAATAAATTTTAAAATTGAAGTTTAGATAAGAAATATGTGCCTAAGCATTATATATATATATTTATTTATTTATTTATTTATTTATTTGGTCGTTATATATATATAGAAACAATCGTCGGATGATTTGGTCGTTATATATATATATATATATATAGTAGGATAAATGCTTGTTGTTTTTGTTGTTATATATATATATGTAAATCTAAGATTTAGAAAAACCGATCGGACCGGTCAATTTGATCGTGAACTGGTGGTTAGTCCTGTCTGAATCACATTAGAAACCGTTTCTGACTATGAATCGCTCAGAACCGGTCGAACCGACGATTCAACCCATAAATCAGAGAGCATCTTCAAACTTGTTGGGTTTCACAATTTAAAAGGAGTGACAAGTCTAACATTTTAGTTTTGACATTTTTATGTTTCACAAAATGTGTGAGTTTTCATACATTTTTCGAATCATTTTGTTTGGTTTTCAACAACATTATACTTTTCATACACATATAAGTCTACTGGAGATGGAATTGAAAGACTTATAGGGATATTATTATTATTTTTATTATTCCTTTTTTTGTGGGGAATAAAAGAGCTGCCCTATGAAAAAAAAACATTTTTTTTATGAATAGGACCACTTAAAAAAATTCTATTTATTTATTTATTTATTCATATTTATATTATTATATTATTTAAATTATTATTAATTAATTTTATATTAATTAATTTTATATCATCTAGTTCAACTTAGGTCAAATCAATGAATCTTAAATATATTTTTTTTCTAGTTTGATGCCAGATTCAAATTTCAAAACCTTGTATAAATCTAACAATAACTTATGCAAAAGTGGCTAATATTATGTTACTTGAGGGAAAAAAAAACTATTAATTGTGAATTCAATTTTCAACTTTGATGTGTAATCAAAAAAAATATTTCACATCAAGCACAAATCTCAATGCATTTCAAGCAAAAAATATTTTGAATTGAAAATTAAGATCATCTTATCCTCATCCTCGATAAATTCATAGTTAAACCGATCTCTCCACAACACAAACTCAACAACACTGAAAGTGGTCTAATTCGAGCTAAAATGAGCCAGGATCAAACAATTGAAATGTAGCAAAGGACATTGATGCATTAATTGGAAGCTCAAATGATCTCAAAATTTGGCATGTTCTTAATCAAATCTAGCGGCTCGATGAGAGAAATCCAAAGTGCCTAGTATTATCTAATTCAAGTTCTTTATGACACTTAAATATATATATATATATAT